CTACTTCTCATGAAAAAATTGTATTGATCCATACATTTTTTAAAAAGTTATAGCACTTTAAAGTAAAACGTTATAGCATTATAAAGTTAAAAATGTAAAAATAAAATCGAGAATTTTCACACGAAAATAGCATTCGGTAGTCCAGAGGTCAAATTTTTTTTTTTCAAATTAAAGTATATTACATTAGCTTTAATTTAAGATATATATAAAAGTGTCAGACCTTCCGGAACACTTTCAAAAGTTAAGTTGAAAAAGTTCTACTTTCTATATGCATTTTTTATATTTGAAGCCCCCCCATATATAGGGAAATAGTCTGATTTAAAAAAAAAGTATATCCAATGAAAGATGTATATAAATACTACTTCTCATGAAAAAATTGTATTGATCCATACATTTTTTAAAAAGTTATAGCACTTTAAAGTAAAAAATGTAAATTATAAAATCGAAAATTTTCACACAAAAATAGCATTCGGTAGCCTTTTTCACCATGAAGACAAGTCCAGAGGTCAAATTTTTTTTTTTCAAATTAAAGTACATTATAATAGCTTTAATTTATGATATATATAAAAGTGTCAGACCTTCTAGAACATTTTCAAAAGTTAAGTTGAAAAAGTTAATTTTTTGTGAAAAAGTTGTCATTTTAAATCCCCCCTGTGGGCTGGTATATGGTTAAATTTATGAAAAAGATATACCAAATGATAGGTAAAGACATCAAGCATCTATGAAAAAAAAAAATTATATTCATATGTTCATTTTTAAAAAAGTTACGGCAGTTTTTAGTAAAAAAAGTTGAAAAAATATCGAAAATTAGCGATTTTTAAATTTGTAATTTTTTGGGAGGTTTCCCCCATCTACGGGGAACGAGGGAAATTTTTTCAATTTTTGAGGGTAATGTCTTCGACTAGATACGATTTGTGATCTTTTGACGTATCGTTGAAAGAAATCCGTTCGAAGAGAGCTGAGAAAAAGTGGTAACAGACAAAAAAAAAAAAAAAAATAAACACATCATAGTAAAACCAATACCTTTTCAGTTTTGCATCGAAGCTAAAATAAATTAATGATATATGTTTTTAGGAATTTTCGAAAACAAGCGACTCGAATTCTAAATACTACATGCTGCAATCTTTATATTTATTGATTCTTCATTGTGACATTTTGAATAAAGCTGTTAAAGAACATAGAGGTTTTGTAATATGGTGTCAAGAAAATTTAATTATTAAAAAGTACGTGAGTAGTATGAAGTGAAATAGTATTTTTTTGTAATATATATAAAATTATTCAAAATCATAAATGTTTTATACATTTTATTGTTAAAATAAAAATATTCTGTTCATTAAAAATTGAATAAATTTATGATTGAACTTAAAAAAGTATATATTTTTTTATTATTTTTTAAAATAAATAACAACATCTAAATAACATTTAATATAGATTACATTGCATATATTAGGTTATTTAAACTTATTTTTCATTCCTTAACGTGTCGAAATGATTTTTCAAAATATATGTTTTGCTACTTTAATTGGTAGATATTAAATAACTATGAAATAAATGTTGCTATTTATAATGTTCATTTTAATATTTAAGTGTTAGCAAAAATATTAAATAACAAAATTCTTTTAGACTACATACTATTTATTTATTTATTTATTTGAATAATAAACGCCTATTAGGCATAAAGTACAGACAAAATGAACACAAAAGAGTATACATATAGGTTTAACAAAAGTATAAGAATAGATAATAACAATATATGAGAATAACATACAACCAAAAAAAAAGCATATACAGATAGTACATAGTTCTAATTAGAGTTTATTAATACGAAATCGATGCACTAAATACAATATTCCCTTAAACAATTTTTCATTTTATGGGGCATATGGAAAAAGAAATTAAAGTTTTCGATTTTATTACCTAATGACAACATCCGGTTTAGCGGTGCGAAGATACAGTAGTTACGCTTGAATGTAGGAACATGGAATGTATAAGTAAACCTTAAAGAGAATTTCGGGACGTTGAAAGAAATTAGGGATAATACCTCAGGACAAACAATATTAGAATTTAACAATTTATACAGCCAGTTTAAATATTTAAATTGCCTTCTAAATTTTAGCATTTTAATATTAAAATCTATTGCTAAAGATTTTAATGTTTGATCGATTCTATTTGTCTTATATGCTAACATCCGTAAAAAGTGATTTTGAATGTGTTCTAATTATTGAATTTGGTAATCCTGGTGTGGGCTCCAAATTATTGATCTTTATAATTTGAATAAATTATATGGATGAATAAAAATTTAAATAAATTTTACGGTCTACATCTTGTAAATTTTAATATAAATTAATTTTATTTACAAATTCATTAATTAAATTCTATAAAAATAATTAAGAGATTATATATAATGGACCCCTCAAGAAATTTTATTGAAATTGCGCCTGTTCATATAGTCGAATTTATTAGCTTTATTTATTTAATAATTCTAACTACATATTATAGTTATACTAAATATATTTTAGTTAAGCCAATTAGATTTTATCTAAATATTTACAATAACTAAATTTGTGACTATTTTCTAAAAGCTGATATGTCAATTTTATCAATTTCTCAAGAGTACAAATCAAAATTAAAAATATCAATGATGTTTAATGTAAAAAAATCTTCCTAATAAAGTCATGAAGTCATGATTTTTTAATAAAAATTCTAATTTTTGTATAGTATTTGGGAATGCTTAGAAGGAATAAAATCACATTTATGTGAGGTAGCCATACCAGTTATTTTACATTGTGTTTCATTGCCATATGGAAACGATATATTTTGGAAACTAATAAGAGACGAATTTCATAATGAAGATTGGAGAATACGTTTTAACGCAGGTATTTATATAATAACATTTATGGAATACGAAATAATTCACATTCTACCATTAAATTAAGTGGAAAAAGTAATACTCATGGCAAAATTTTTGGACAATACTCCTTTACGTAATAATTCAACTTTACAATCATGTATAACCAATGCATTTTGTTATCTAATATCAAGTATAGACGATCGTAGTTCTTACGTTGCTCAAAGAGCTACATTACTATTACCTACTATCCATGATTCTTCTTTAAAAGTATGTATTTAATCAAGAGGAATAAATATTTTAGTAACAATTATATTTTATAGAATTTAATTTACTGTATGGAAATGCATTTCGATACTGTTATGGTGGACAGACCTATGATTTTACAGTCTTTATACCAATTACATAATACATTAAATGATCGGAAAGTACTATCTTGGGATTTTTTCTTGGGGCGTTTTGACGCTTTGTTTATAGAAGCTCAAATACAATTAAAAAAAAGTGGAGATATAACGCATATCAGAGGTACCAGAAAAAAGTTATTTTTAAAGTAAATGTTTATAATACGAGCTAATTTATAAATTAATTTAAAATGTACAAAGGATTTTAAGTAAAAATCACTATTCATAAAAAATAAATAGACATTATTCGTTTTTTTAATAGATTTAAAGAATTCTGATATTACCAGTGACACTTTTATTAAAAAAGTTCAAAGAGCACATGAAGCTATGATACATATGTCAGAGTCAAATTCAGTAAGAACTTTGAGTGCAAGTTTTGGCCAAAAATGGCCGTATAAAAGAACTATGTCTGCACCAGCCTCTATGGTACCCAGACATGATCAAAGATATAAAGGTGAGTTAAGTATAAAAAATGTTTATGGTAGCGTAATTTTGACATTTTTTAAATGTTTGGCACTGTTAGGTTCAACTAAATTAAAGTTGGATTTTTTTGGTGTATTGTTTATTAAAATCGGTTCAGTGAAAGCTTTAAATTGAATATAATGGATAAAAATAAAAAACACATACCATTATAAAACCAATACCCTCCAGCCTCGCAATAAACCTAAAAATATATTTATGATAATTATAAAGGATATATAAATTATTCTTAAAATAATCTTTTTATCTAACCTTTTTTTCATAGATAATCTATTGAATCGCTAAATGGTATTCTATAAAAAATATGAAAAACTGTGTAGAATGTGTTTATTTCTATAGTAAACTGTAATTTTGAAATGTTATAATTGACTTTTAGATGGTCAGATTTAGCTCCTTTTTATAGTTACTTATATATTTACAACTTTTTTATTAGAACATGATAATAAAAATGTATAAAAATATATTTTCCCTTTTCTGCAGTTGGTAATATATTTAAATAGCAAATTAAATTAACAATTAATTATTCGAAACTTATTATTTTTACAGTTGATAAAGCTTATAATAGACAGTTTTCAGCACCAATTTTAAAAAGAAAAACTTCGCAACTGATAACACCTATATTGTCAATTCTTCCTGGTACAGTATTGTATTAATAAAACTAAATATTTAACAGAAATTATGATCATATATGCAATTTTTAAGATCATACGTGTGCGTCTGATTCACATGAAGATAACACTGGAGAGCTTCTTAACCACATCGTTGATTTAGAAGAATCTGACAAAGAAACAAGCCATCTGATTGTTTTTCTTCTTATGCAGTTTATGTCAAGACCAGAACACGTAAATTATCTCAATTTTTAAAGTAAAAACGTCTAAAATTTTTTTTTGAAATAGGCATATCCAGAAGAGTCAAAATATGGTCTAAAAATTCAAGGCATTGTTTTACAACATCTATACTTATTATTAGGTTACAACTACAATGAAAAGGGATTTCATATTTCTCCTGAAAAATTGAGGTAACTATAAATTGTACACAAAATTAATAATTTTATCGTCCTGGTAAAATATGACTATAAAAACTTTTAAAAATTAAAAATTGTTAAACTCATTCCAATAAAAATTATACAAATTAATATCATTTACCATAAATTTTTTAGAGTTTTGCCCGTTTTTAATTCGTTTTTATCGAATTTACCCCAAATGCTTGACCAGAATTTTACAATGGGTCACGTTATTGCCCCTACGGCTCTTTTACTCTTGCAATACTGCCCTTCGCCAGAAACTTACTCGATAAACACAACGTACTCACTATGGTTTTTGGAACCAATGGCAAGAAAATCTTGGCTTATGTCTTTAATGGTATTTTTGTATAAGGTATATATTATATTATAAATATATTTAACATTTAAGTATATTCATCTAGTCATATTTAATTAATTAATATCACTTAAAGTTTTTTAATTTTGATTTTGTTTAGGAAAGCTATGTTAAAAACTATTAATTTTAATTCTATTACTAAAATTTTAGGATTGTAATTTATTATTTATTATTTTAATATTGTAGCTATAACATAGACAATAGCGTCATTTCAGTGTTTTATAAAGAGTGTGATGTTTTTAGTGAGCACCTTATAAAACAAATTTAATAACCGAAAATGACATATAACTGAGGTATGTCAACGATGAAGGTACTTCGATAAACGAAAGGCAAAAGTAATTCCGTTAGTGACTGTGTTCTATCCATAAGGTGAAACTTGTTTGGGAACGTCATGCTTTTCAGTGCATACAGTCTCAAACAATATTTAAAAAAAAATATTTGTGTGGATGGTTTCTTCCAATCCTACTATACATATGTTTTTCATTAGATTTTCAGAAAGAGCATATCATAAAAGTAAACTTATTGTTTCTAGTATACTCTATCAAATCTTGTTGTTTTTAATTTTCAATGGTTTCCAAGAAAATCAGTGTCTTATTATAAGTCAATTACCTTGTATATTATTTAGATATTATATATAAAAATTGTATTATTAAAATAAGGTGGAGTAAGTGCATATGTATTTTTTTTTCCTTAAATTTTCATAAAATGATTTGTGTACTACTCCTCTGTTAAATAACTATCTTATATAACATAAGAACTATTAGAGTACCTTAAATCATAGAAAAAATTCAAATAAATTGAAGTTTAACTTTCCAGTGCTTATTAAAGTAAAAAAAAAACCCAGCACAGGGCGGTCGCAGCACTGTGGTGACGTGGCATAGTTGGATTTAGTATAATGATATCTGACAGTGATTAAAATCACTATAAAAAAAAACGCATCAATGCAAACCTTTAGATAGTGTTTATTTTAAAAAATTGGTGGATTATTCCAAAAGCTACATGATCTGCTATTTCTCATAAAAAATTTGTATTAATCCATACACTTTTCAATAAGTTATAGCATTATAAAGTTAAAAATGTAAAAAATAAATTCGAGAATTTTCTCACAAAAATAGCATTCGGTAATTATTTATACCATGAAGACAAAATAAAGTCCGAAATTTTTATTTTCCATAATAAAGTATTTTACATTATCTTTAATTTAAGATATATATAAAAGTGTCAGACTTTCCAATTTAAAAAAACAGTATGTCGAATGAAAGATGTATATAAATACTACTTTTCATGAAAATATTGTATTGATTAAAAAAGGTAAAAACATCATGCATCTATAAAAAGAAAATTATATTGATTCGGTTATTTTTAAAAAAGTTATGGCAATTTTAAGTAAAAAAAATTGAAAAAAATTCGAAAATTAGTGATTTTTAAATTTGTAATTTTGTTGGAGGTTTCCCCCATTTACGGGGAATGAGGGAATTTTTTTCAATTTTTGAGGGTAATGTCATCGACTAGATACGATTTGTGATTTTTTGACGTATCATTTAAAGATATCGTTTTCGTGAGAGCTGAGAAAAAGTGGTAACAGACACAAAAAAAAAACACATCATAATAAAACCAATACCTTCTCAGCTTCGCATCGAAGCTAATAAATTAAATGATTATTTTAAAAGTCATGTATTTTAGTAGCATCAATATCAATTATTCAAGTTTTATTTTTAATCAATCTCTTGACATTTCTTATTAGTTATGTCTTTAGGCAAAAATAAATAATAAGTTCTCGAATAATTCAAGTTATACATTTTTAATTAATAAGATCTACACAACTGGTATTCCGCTTATTCCAATACACAAATATACTGAGCAATTGTAAAATCGCATTTAAATTGATTATAATATTGTTGCATAGTTTATGAGTTCCAGGACATTTTCAAAATATTGTTTCTTTGGGCATCCTCTTGGTTTCTTTTCAGTTATTTTTCCTTTGAAGATGTTGGTTTTAAATTCATTGTGTTCAAATAACTTTTTTTTTTAATCAATCACCTTCATTAGCTGTCTTTCTTCTTATATTACTTCTAGCACTTTACGGCATTGAAGTTTGAGGCCCTGGGTCCGCCATACCCATAGTATATGTAAACTACATACTCCCATGAGAACAACATAACGCTTCGATAAAATTTCTTCCAATTAATAATTATAAATGTTATTACATTCAAATGTGCAGCAGACTTATTTGTAGTGCATTTACCCTGAAATCTTACTTTAAACATTTCACTTTACTCAATCCTATGCATCGTTTAGTGATCCTTGCAAGTGAGAATAAAAAATAAAAGCTATTCTTGCACTTAAGTGTAATAATCTTATTTTTCAATTATCAATTTTTATGTGAAAAATATTTTTAAATTTTAATTGATGACAAAAAAATAATCAAAATAATCATCCAATAAAATTTCTAATTGCTCCACTGCTTAGCTTAAGTAACTTATATTTATGTTAAAAATTTATTATTTTTTTTAGTACACGTTTGATAAAGAACCAATAAGTCTATTAGTAGTATCTTTAATGGAAATTATTTTAAATACGCTCAATGCTCAACAGCACGTGTGTAATAGAATTCCGCCAACTGTTGTAATGCCTGATACATCTAAAATTAAAGGTTGGTAATTTATATTCATTATTTTCTGAATAAGTAAAAATGATGAGAGAGGTTAAATAAAGACTCTTCAGAGATTTATCTCTAACTACGATGCTAATTAAGAATGATTTAAAGGTAGTAAACATTTAATTAATAAAAAAATCTGCAACTTCTATTTGTATTTAAAATTTGAACTAATATGATTAAACAGCATGTTTAATTTGTTGAAGAATGATAAAAAAGTGTTTAACCTAAAAATGATCAAATTTTTTTGAAATTGTATAGTACTTTTTGGTTTCATTGAAAAGTTGAAAATTAGATTCGGTTTGAGTTCAATTAAATTCCAAAAATCATGGTTCGTAACTTTTTTTCAATTTTTGAAGGTAATGTCTTCGAATACATACAATTTCTGATTTTTTGACGTAGCCATTTTCGCTGTGAAGACAAGTCCAGGGGTCAAATTTTTTTTTTTCAAATTAAAGTATATTACATTAGCTAAGAAATTCAAAACTCCAAAAATTTGATCCAAAGTGTTTTCAAAATTTTAATTACGATAACCCCAATTTTAATAATTATTATTATCTAATAAAAATTATATTATATTATTAATTTAAAAAACTAAAAAATATTAAAAATATTAAACTCAAAGCCACAAAAAAATTAATGAAAAGTCGCGGATACGTATTTCGGAAACAACTTTACCATCACCAACGCTAAACACATATACGTATCCGCGACTTTTCATTAATTTTTTTGTGGTTTTGAGTTTAATATTTTTTAGTTTTTTAAATTAATAATATTTTTAATATAGTTTTAATTTTACTTAATTATTATTATCTTTTGATAAACATTTTTTTAATTCTATTGATATCTAAAACAATTAGGATTATTAATTTTTCAAAAATTTGAATCAGGAATTTAATTTATTTTATTAATTTATTTATACTTGTTATTTTATACAGTGGAAAAAAATGGCGATGTTTCTTTTAATGACCCACAAAAACTTCACGAATTTCAACCATCAACTTCGCGGAAGTATCCAATAAGTATGGAAACTCATTGGGAAGAAGATATTTCATTTACTAAAAAACTACCTCATAAACAAGGATCAACGTATGTTCAAAAGCAAATATTTAATTTTAAAATAAAAATATTGTATAAAAATACAAAGATTCTATGCCAAAAACTCCGTGGACAATTTCGTGATAAATATATTTATTACAAATTGTAATTAATAATTAAAATTATCTGTTTCATTTAGTAATGTAAAACTGTTGTAATAATCTTTTTCGAGAATATTCATTTTAACTTCTGTTTATTATATTTTACATTTTTAGAAAATGGGCTTGAGTAACTATCAAATATATGATCACTTTCTTCTATGTATACAATATTAGAGAAATAATTAAGTTCAATTTTCATTTTAATATTATTCTATAATAATCTACAACAGGATATTCTCAAAAATATTCCCTTTACCTAGAAAATTTTCTCGAGAATATTTTTTCATTATATTACTAGTTATATCACACTAAATATGCCTAACTTTTCATATCGCCACCCGAAAATTTCCAAAGCCATGCCGTTTTGTTCCATTTTTAAACTCTATTAAATTTTCAACAATTAGTAGAAACTGACAATACCTAAAGTAGATCTTAACATAAAGCACCCAGAACAGTAAGAACCCCCAAAATGTGCAGTTGATTAAGGAGACAGTTGAGCGGTCACAAAGACACTTTGATTCGAAGTCCGTAAGGAGAAAATGGCTGAAAACAAAACTTGGGAAATATATAGTTTCAACAAAACAGAGCCACAGTACGAAATTCGTAGTTCGCTGTGATAATTTAAGCATGAATGATATTATCCTCTAAAGATTCGTAAATAGAAAATGACCGAAGAAGTCGAAGATATACTCATTAAAATGTACCGAATATCATATGACAACTTAAAAAATGTCCAATAAAATGTATTGCTTATGACGGCCGCCAATTTAGAGATATAATTTTCAAAACATAAATTAAAAATCCAGCAAATTGAGGTTTTTTACAAACGACGTAGCAATGTTGAGACAGAAGTTATGTAATATCTGACAGTGTGATTAATATATCTGCCTTAAAAAAAACACTTCGATGACAATCTGAATTTCATTATTTGAAAATCAAAAAGATACCATTACAAAATCAATACCCTTTAAGCTTTGCAACTAAGCTAAAAAGTGATTGCCAATGATTTTATAAAATAAACGGTTTTTTCTCATATTTATTGTTCGCCAATTATAGTTCTTCAAAACTATTCATTAGAGATAATTGCAATACTAGTTGGGACCCAGAACCAACTAGTAATCAAGAAAAGGAGCATAATTTTTTTAAGCGGTAGTCAAGCTCCTCTGAAGGCATTTGGTAATAACCAGGTAACTTTGGGGCTACTTCTTGAATGCAAGAAAGCTTTAGAATTACCAGCAAAGTTCAATCCTTCAAAGTACTACCCAAAAACTGGTATCCAGAACAACACAGGATAATATGGAGTTACCTAGTGGTACTAAGACAATCAAAAATGTCTATCAAAACTTTTGGTTTACTAATCAAGGATCTTAAAAACATGACTAGACTTCAAATAATCATTCTGACATGACTACTACTGACAGGACACGGTCATCTACTTAAACATCTTTACACAATGTGAGTAACAGAATCACCACTATGTAAGAGGTGGGGAACAGAAGAAAATGATTTATATCACATTATGTGTGAATATAATACCCTAACCACATATCAAAAACCTAAAACCCAAAGAGATATCTAATTTTGCTTTAGAGACAGAATTCCTGAACATTTATATGAATGACCTAGAAGGGCGTTCTGTAAATTGTATTAGGAACACAAACATTGGCAAAAATACTTCAGTGAAAGTACTTGTGTAAAGAAACCGAATTGATATATTTCGGTAGGAGGTGCGCACAATGAACCTACAAATGTGAGTATGTCAGCAGTTCCTATCCACCTCTTTAACAACTAAAACTAAAAAAGGATTTAATTTTCGGGGAGATTGTATCTAAACACATTTTTCTCCGAAAATACTATTAAGTTAAGTCCCATCATCAGTAGAATTCTAGTTTTAAAAAAGTTTGGAAAGTGTCTTTACCCCATAGATATCCACATTTTGTATAATAAGTCCAAAGAGAAACACAGGGTATTATTTAAATTAATCCTGTATATATTGCTAAAATTCCATCAAAATAACATTTAAAATATAATTTTTTTTTTGTATATTAAGATCATAATTATAATATAATATATAAAATATAATTTAATGGATAGGTTTTTTTTTTTGTCTTTTTAGAGGATCCACTGAACCAGACGATACGGAATCTGATATGGCTGTTGCATTAGAGAAATACAAGTCTGATAGTACAACTGGACATTATAGTTCACATGTATGTTATTTTGCTATTTCTACAAGTCTATTATTTAGACAATATTTTTTTTATACAGGGCTCATTTGATGATTCAGCAGATGAAGCTTTTTGTCGAAAAGCTCCTCTCAGATCATTTTGGCCTAATGAAAGTAATATTGAGGTATAATAAAATTTGTTATCAAAATTATAATTAAATATTATATGTTCAGTTGTTATGTATACACCCTTTTCTAAATAAACTACTGAATAAATTGTTATGTAATTTTATGGTTTTTTATAGAGACAATTCGGTGATTCATTATTTTTATATTCTAAGGAATTAGTTTGTCTTGTAATTATTCTTACATAAAATTTTATTGAAATTAATTTTACTTAATTAATTAAAATATGATTTTAATTAAGACAAAGATTATTAAATTATTTTTCTAAATTACAATTTTATATATTTTATCTGTTTAAGAAATAAAAAATTTCGAGAACGATGTTAAGAATATTTGTAACACTTAATTAATAACAAATTAAATTTTTGCAAAAACAAAAAATTTGTATGTTAATACATGTACAAATTATAATAATATACAATAATGAGCTTAAATATAACACGTTTTAACGTATAATTTCAAAACTAATGAAGAAAATGTAAATAAAGTAAAACCACATATGTATAAAATGATAAAACCCTTAATTATATATTTTTCAACATTGGTGTTATCAGGACGGGTTATAGTATTGTAATCCCCTTCAATAAGTTAATAATATGGTTAATATTTTAGTCGTGATCTTATTTTTTTTTTTGCTTATTCCAATTTTCCTGAAAATTTAAAGAAAAAAATTTGATGAGCAAAAAAAAATTATTACTCCCCATTCTCTACTTGTACTTACTTTTTCATTTTAAGTAATTATATATATATTGAAATATTTATAGAGTGAAAAATGGGGCGTCAAAGAAGGTATGAAAATGTTAGCAACCTCTGCATTTTTTAGTGTAGCTAATCAACCTAATTTGCTTGCGCCACCAATTCTTCCTTCGACCTCTACTTCCTCACCAGAAATCAACACCACATTAAAGTAAATAACATATTAAGTAATAAAAATTACTTAAAATGTTTTTTTTTAATTTATTAACAGTATCTTTATTAATATATAATTAATAATAAATTAAGGGTAATTAATGAAGATCATTTGAATAAAAAAGAACATAATTTTTATAATCCTCGTGATATAAGCCAAACTTCAACATCTTCATCTTCTATAACCTCATATTCTCCCGTAGTTGTCACTATGAAGGAAACATGTTCAGCACAAAGACCTACACATAATCTTTATCAAAATTATTCCCAATCTCCACTATCAAAAATGAAAATACATAAAAACTCAATAAATTCTACAGGTTACTAAAGTTTTATTATTAATTTTTAAATTTAATTAATTACTATATATATTTTAGGCTCAACAGATACAAGTATCAAAACAGATTTAGGATTTAAATTGGAGTTGAGTATGGACAAAAAGCCATTAGAGCTTCCAATTCAAGAACGGCTATTACCTATTGGAACAACAATGAATCTTGTTCAGAAAATTAACAAAACTTTTAGATTGGGAGATATAGATTCAACATCACAATCTTCATCAATAAATAGAAATGATAGTTCTGATAAAGAAAACATAAATAACTCTGATTTGGTTATTATTTTTAATAAAATAATGTCATATAAAAATATTTATAAATTTACTATATTTATATTTTTTTACATAGAAACTTTGCAATAGTCCACGAAAGTTAATAAAACAAATAGCACTTGATAGCCCAGAAGAAAAACCACCAATACATTCTGCATCACGAAGAATTATAAATAACACAAATGAAACGCGAAAAAATTCTACTTATCATCAAAAGTAAGTACTAACACTTAAATACATATATTTATGCAACGTACACAACAATATCGTATATAACAAAGAAAATTTTTTGTATAATTCGCGATAATGATATGATTATAATTTAGACTCATTTATGAAAATAAGTAGTTCAAAAAATAAATACTAGAAAGAGTTATTGGCTTAAATAGTGATAATTAATAATAGACGTTGTCATGTTGACAAAACTTGATATAATATTAACTAGTAACTCGGAAAATTAATTGCATAATTTTTTTTATCATAAAAATAAATATTACAGTTTTCAAACATTTGTGAACCAAGCAGATTTTAGATGTTGATAAATATCATGAAATGAAAACAAAAATAATTAACTAATACAATAGGTTGTATCTGTGCAACTATATTGCACGGATTTCGAGTTCTTATTTGCTCTTAGTACGTGTCAATCATGAAAGCTGAAGTTTTGTGCTATATATCGTTTTTCGAGCATTTATTAGCACTATTTGACTTAATGTGATAAAAAATTAATAAATATTCTTTTGGGTTATTTAAACATGTTATTCTTAGTTTATTAATAAAATAAGTAGTCCACTATCGGAAAAACAATTACTGGTTTTACTTTTTAAAATTGAAACATAATCTACTACGTTAAAAGTCAATTTCTTTTATTTGTAGTTAGAAGTAAAAGTCAAAATTAAAAAAAAAACATAATGTAATGACAAATTTAAAGACATGTGCTATAACACTTGATATCAAATAGAACTCTCTACGCATATAATTGTACTCCTGAAATTAAAATTATAATTAAATTTTTAACACATAAAAATGCGTATAAAACGTAGAACTTTTTCAACTTATTTTTAATTAAGACCAATGTATTCATTCATAAGTAAAAAACGATATTTTTTTATAAAGTATTACTTCAAGCTATTTAATTTGTATACATGTTTGTCAAGTAAAAAAAATACTAATTTATCATTTTTTATTATTTATCTGTAAAAATTACAATATTAAATTATTAAATATTAATTTCATACTAAATTTAATTACTGTAATTAATATTTATTTATATATTATAATTATAAATTAAAGAACGACTAATCAGGTTTAATAATATATAAGGATATATAAAGAAAATAGGAGTTGATGTTGCTTTTGTAATTATCCACCAATTTCTTAGAATTAAACACTATCTAGAGATTTGCATTTAAGCTTTTCTCATGAAAGTTATTTTAATCTCTTAGATATCGTCTGTACTTGTCCCAACTATGCCACCTCTATACTGTGCAGCGACTCCACTGTGTTTTTTCTAGTATTTTATAACATACATTTGATCAAAACATTTTATTTAATAGAAAAAAGTAAAATTATACAATTCTTTTTATTAATCTAATAATATAGGAGACTACATTGTTAAATGATTAGCCCACCAAATATTACATCAAAATTATATTTTGGACGTTTTTTAGGTTTCACTAATAATTAAAAGTTATTGTATTATTACTAAATTTATTATTGTATAATATACATAAATTTCTGTAATTTAGAAATAATTATCAAAATATGGATGCTCCAATAAATGAATCTTATTTTCCTAAAAAGTGCATAAGTAATAGTATGAGTCGTGTAGGTACAGATTGTATACAAGAAAGGTAAATGTTTATAATGGATACATTTTAATAAATTTATCACGCATAGCATATTAATTTTTTTTTAAGATGTAGTGATTGTGGAACACGTAAAGAAGAATACAGTGATGATGAAATAGGTTTATGTATAGTATTATTAGGGACATTTGTCCATCGAGCGCCATCCTTATCTGCATGTATTCTACCTGACATTCTCACAGTACTAGCTAAGTATGAGTAGTTTGCCAAAAAATTTAATTTTGAATCTAGTTGATATTTTTTTAATTTAAAGATGCCATTCAAGCCCTACTTTCTTATGGCAAAAAGAAAGTCAAAAATTTTTACCGTGCGGTTCTACTAGTATTGCAAAAAAATTTTTAAGATGTATTCTTTACCAGCTTGCACCAAATGGGGTTTTTTCACAAATATTCCAAATTAAACATAATGGTAATTATTTAAAATTAAATTTCTGATTGAGTTCTATATAAATTTTTATTAATTACTTTACAATCTAGAAATTAGTGGAAATAGCTTTTTTAAAAGTATAGTTCAAGCATTAATGGATTTTGATGAAATGAACCCCATTGAACCGTTACAAATGGTCCTTGAAGTATGTAAAAAATTTTACTATTTTAAATAAACAATACTTATTTTTACAATTATAAAATAATATTATAATAATATAATAACTTTTTTTTTAAATATTTTTTAACTTATTTTTAAAGTGTTTCAAAATATGTTTAAGGTACTAAATTCTAAAAAATCGCTTTCAACAATGAATTGTTGTATTATGCTATCGAATATAAATATTTACATAGATATTTTAACTACCGACAATACTGGATCAACATCGACACTAATTTGGACGACTATTCTCAATCAATTTGATGCACTTTTTCGAAAAATTCAATTGACTGTTAGTAATTTTGAAAACATTAACTTGCTATTTAAGCTAATGATAAACATATTAAAGATACCAGGAATAATATCATTAAAGGTTGGTATAATTTTTATTAAAAGTAAATAATAGAAATTAATATTATTTTACTATATTTTCATAAAATTACAAAAAAAAAAAAAAAAAATGATGACAAATAAAATAAAAATGGTTTTCAAATAAACCATTGAACATTAAACGAAACAACGCATCAATTTTCGAAAATAGTTATATTATTAATGTCACCCTGAGATAGTCAGAAGGTCTATCAAAATGCCAGAGAGCTATGGCCTCCTAAAGTATATCTGAATTCAACACCGTGCGAAAGACTCATGCAACAATCAGGAAAATTCAATTTTTTCAGAAAATAATTTTTGTTAGTTTAAATTAATTTAATTTTTGTGTATTTCGGTATAAAAAAGTTCTATATTTGGTTTATTCGCAAAAATATATAATTTAGGGAAAAAACTTTTACTGTGATAGTAAAAGTTATCAATGCAAAGATTTTCTAAAAGTGGATTTATCTGATTGTTACTTTTTATGTGCAATATGTATTATTGTTTTTAAGTAAAAACGTTTTGCTGTTTATGAATACTTTCTAATAATTCAATGTTAACATATTAAGTTGTTTTTTTTTTATTATTTAACGTATTATATTTCTAATAATCAAGTTATAAACGATTAATAAAAAAAACCCAGCACAGGGGGGTCGCGGCACAGTGGTGACGTGGTATAGTTGGATCAAGTATAATGATATCTGACAGTGATTAAAATCACTATCAAAAAAAATGCTTCGATACAAATCTTTAGATAGTGTTAAATTTTAAAAAAATTGGTGTTTTATTCCAAAAGCTACATGATCTGCTAGTTCCTTATTAATATCTTGATTAAGATAAAGTATGTCGAACGAAAAAGGGTTTATTAAAAAATAGAATTCCGCCAACTGTTGTAATGCCTGATACATCTAAAATTAAAGGTTGATAAAATAGCATTCGGTAGCCGTTTTCACCATGAAGACAAGTCCAGAGGTCAAAATTTTTTTTTCAAATTAAAGTATATTACATAAGCTTTAATTTAAGATATATATAAAAGTGTCAGACCTTCCGGATCACTTTCAAAAGTTAAGTTGAAAAAGTTCTACTTTATATATGCATTTTTTATATTTTAAGCCCCCCCATATATAGGGAAATGGTCTGATTTAAAAAAAAAGTATGTCCAATGAAAGATGTATATGAATACTACTTTTCATTAAAAAATTGTATTGATCCATACATTTTTTAAAAAGTTATAGCACTTTAAAGTAAAAAATGTAAATTATAAAATCGAGAATTTTCACACAAAAATAGCATTCGATAGCCATTTTCAGCAGATTTACAAAAAAAATATACCAAATGATAAGTAAAAACATCAAACATCTATATAAAAAAAAATTATATTGATATGTTCATTTTT